GCTGATTTACCATCCAAGAAGGCGGCCAAACAAATCCTTTTTGGACCTGACCCTTCTATTGGACTGACAACATCGGTAGTGACAGACCTAATTAAAGAATATTCCCTTGTGAAATTGAAGGAAAGATGGGATGAAACTGCTGAATTACCAGGGAGCTTTTAAGTTATCCTGAAAACACTACAACAAACAAATACTTGACTACGACTAGACAAAATCTGCGTCTGATCACAGGCATTCTGACTGGTCATTGTCAAGTACGGAAGCATCTCCACATAATGGGGCTGTTAGAATCCGCACCCTGCAGGGGGTGCGAACAAAAAGATGATATCATTGCATTGAACATGTCCTCTACGATTGTCAGTCGCTCTCATTTATTAAAAGATTTGTTTTCGGCGAGTATTGGCTAACACCGGCCAATATAAGAGAAGCACCTTTTGGCGACGTTGTCAACTACATTAAATCTGTAGGCTGGCTTACGAGCTACGAGATGCCTATCATTTTAGAAGGATACACAATGGGCCTAGTGAGGCGTAAGTGCCGTGGGGTATAGCACCCTCTACACGTTACATATCTAGAAGTAATGTAGGTAGCTGTAAATGCATTTCGATTATATTCTGATAGCAGCGACTTGGTTCCTCGAAGTGAGTTACTCATATATTTTAATTATTGTTTTGTATTATTGTTTATTTACTGTTTTAATTCCAATGGTTTGAAAAACAAAAAAATAACATATTTAAATAAAAATTATCATTATAGGTAATAGAGAGTTATTGCATGTTCACTTAAGGTCAGTCACTATTAGTGCCGCTCTTATTTTGACATCTGAGCATGCGCAGATCACTAACTTTAATAAAGATTGTGCCTGTCCTTAATAGAGAGATATTGAAAATTTCTATAAAGCCAGCCACTAATAGTGACATCGTAATTAGAGTCAAATAAATTCTATAATAGTACCTAATATTAAAGAGGCATTAGAAATTTTAATTTTAGAAGGTTTAAATGACGAGCGCATCCGAAAGCTATAAAGTCGCCACTACCTGCTGCCCTTAAACATCCACAATTAAGGACAGGCACAATCCTTAATAAAGTAAGTTTTAGAACATAAACATCTGCGCATGCTTAGATGTTAAAATAAAATTCATAATAGAACTTCATAATCTTAAATCGTTATCAAAAATTATTAATGGTAAAACTTCAAACAATAATTAGATTCTCAAACAAATTTCTAGTTTTTGTTTTGCAAAAGACTTGTTTGCCTTCTTCGGTTGCCTCTGCTACTTTTCTTTTAGTAGTTTCGAGGAGAATTTTCCTATGGAAACCAGTAGAACCATCAATTGGTTGGTAATATTTGGTAATTTTGATATTTTGAGTCTGGTAAGTCTTGTTAAACTTTCTTCTTAGGAAGCTATAACCTTATGGAGAATAAAAATTTAATGTTAGATCAAAAGCTCTTAATTGAGAATTATATTTGCAAAGGCCGTTTTAATAATATTTTCAAAAGTTCTTGGAATCGTTGTTAACAGAAACCTGCAAAAAAATATATAATTTTATTCCTAAAATATAAGATATCACACAATACACATTCATATAATATCATTGTGATAGAAAAATACTAGGGTAGTTACTGAGACAATTTAAAAAAAGTATTTCGAGAAACTCAACTTTTAATGTCATCATTGTACTTAACTTTTTTATTGCTAAATTATTAATAATGTCATTTTGTGCAGTTCGTTGTGATTTGTATAATATATATTATAAAAAACTATCGTCAATGTTAATGTGCCAAGTTTTTTTAATAATTATGTCCTTGTTATAGTAAAAACACATTTAAACACATTTTTAAAGTTTTCTTGATTTCTGCTTTAAATTATCGTACAATTGAACTGACTAATTGTGTGTTTAAGTAAAGGTATATTTCTTTTTTGTTATAACAGTCTTTGTATATTGTTCTAACTTTTTAGATAATCAGAGAAAACAGTAAGACATCTTAATATATCCTATTTCACCAACAAAAATGTAGAATAATTAATCTCACATCAAACGAAAAAAGTAATTTTAGGATGTTCTAATAGGTTTTAACTTAAAAACTAAATAAAATGTATATTGCAACTGTGTTTAAATAAATGAATGTTTTTATACCTGACTATAGCACCAGACAAACATTTTTTTAGATCATAATGATCTGCATAACTCAAAATAGTCAAAATCCACATTATTTAAGTTGTTCTAGTATTGTTTTAACATAACGATGTTAACTCCAATAATAAATATTCACGTTTTTTTGAGACGTTTTTTTAAGGAAATTAAAAAAAAAAACATGAATAATGTGATATTCTTGTTTAGTTTTGTACTATATAATATAGTTCATTAGGTAGTGATTTAGAAGCAAATTATGTTCTATTTATAGAATAAAAAATCACTCATAATATCTAAATATTTATACCTATTTATATTTTGGACAGGAAGACTATTTTATGTTTTTGGCTCTGAATAGTTTTCTTAAGAATTTTAAAACCTTCCTTAGCTCTTTTGGGATATTCCATGCATATCTTAGAAGTTCATTTTGTTTAAACCTAAAACAAATTAAGTACAAAAAATGAAAATTTAAACAATACACAAAATAAGTCTTTTAGATTAGTTAAAAAAAAATGGCAACAAAAAAATGGGCTTTTTATTTTTTCCTTAAACATTCTTTTTGAAAGAAACTTAAGTTTCTCTACTTACTTGCTGTTTTAGTATTTTCGTAGCAGATGAATATAGTGTAGAAGTAGTGACAGGATTGATTATTATACTTTTTTCATCGAAATTGCATTTTTCTTTAATATTTTCCTTTCCTGAGGTCTGTAATAAAAATGTTCATTAGCATAAAAAGTTATTCAGGTGGTCATTTGTTGAATTCCTATATTTTGGAACCATGTATTTCTTTCTCATATCAAGAAAAGGAAACCTAAAAAAAATAACAATAAACTTTACAAAGATGTGATATTAAAATAATAAGTAATTAACCTTTACTATAATCATTATGAGACGGATGAAGACGAACTTAGCTGGAGTTTACTTGCTCTTAATTTTAATTTTTCGATAAGAAAATAAGAAAGTTTAATTGCAAATTAAAAGTGATTGCCTAATGCACCGCCTCTGATAATTAGGTTGTGTCTGTACTTACTTATGATATTATCTTGAAGAAGCATTTTCAACAGGCCTTTTACACATAAAGCATATTTTCACCATATTATTAGAGATAATAAATCTTAAATATACATTTACAACCCTTAAAACGTTATAAATAATAATATTTTCCGTAAAATACAAATAAGAAATTGACATGTGTCAGAACTGGCGCTCACAGAACACTTCTGGCGCTGTCAAACTTGGCAACGCTGATTAAATAAGCCAATTACAGAAGAGGTATTTTCCCCCTCGGGGGGAGTAGATGTAGCTAACAAAATTTAGCGCGGGGAAGGGGGGAAGACTCCCTCTAGTAGCAATTGCTCGGAGTTTTTTGCTATGACAGTTGCCTGTTGCAGTTACAGACTAGCCAGCAGTAATATTGAAACAGCTTGATATTTATTATTAAATAAAGAATATTATAGAATCTGTGTTATTTTTCTGAAATGAAACAAAAATAAAATAAGATTGTATGAAACATACTTATCTGTTTATTCAGTAATGTTTTTAGTTTAGATTTTTTTTCAGCAAAAAAACATTCATAATAAGTGTAATAATAGTTTTTAACAACTATTAAGTTGAAATTTGAGTTTTTACGACTGATACACTGTGACTGTGACTGGTACCCTTGAGACAGTTGAAACGTTAAAAAATCAAACTATTCCGGCGAAGTAAAACTGTCTTGTTATAGCTTCGGTGTTTCTGTATGTGCGACTCCGCGCTAGCAAGTCGCAACAGATGTGAAACAACAAAACAACGGTTTAAATTGTTGAAACAATTTGGAACTGGAACAGGTTTTTTGAAACAGGTATTTTATGGAACTGAAGCAGACTGTACCTGTTATTAAAAAGTCACTGTTTTACCCTTCCCTAAACGTAACTGACCGGCAGTGCTGCTAGTAGTTTTAAGTCGTCCAGAAACCACTTCAAAGAAATGGGCTAGAGTGGGAATTATCATTCGACACTTGCGAACAGAGCCTGCGGTACGATCGGTTGTTTCTATATCTCATAATCTTGAAAAACATACGGGAAACATTGACCCTGTACCGCTCTACGAAAGGAATTTGTCGTATGGGGCGGTACGGGGTCAATGTGTCCCTCCCGTATGTTGTTTTGTGTAAATAATGATTTAAAAAAATATATAAGCACATTGGTATAAATAAAATTTTTATATCTCAAATAATACGAAAACTAGAGGCTTCACCTTATGGGAAGGAGTAGCGAATATGATGCCGCGTCGTGGGTAAACACAATACGGGACATATATGCTCCGTACCGCAGTAAAGGTGTTAATAGTATTTTAAATATAATGAATGACATATAGAGACCTCTGTTAACGTTTGGTTGATAAAAAGTTCTATGTGTTACTGATTTTAAGACTTTTATTTTCGTTTATAAAAATGGCCACATTTGAGTAGTTGAATAACCTCTACGATTTACATTTGTATGGTTTGACACTGACTAAAAACCTATCACAATGATTTAAACAACTGCTGTGATCTAGATTACATCCAAATCCTTAAAGGGATATATAATTGGTAAATATTCTTAATTTTTAATAATTTAGCTAATAAAATTGTAGATTTTTTTTCATCAAACTTCTATTTCCACAGTTACATTCACTCAATTACCATATCTATCTCAATAATTATTAACATAGTTTAAGATCAACCATTGATATGGAAAGAAGTATTATACTGTTTAGCTAATCACTGATAACGAAATAAATTTTTATATAAAAATTAAAAATTTAAATTTTGAAGTAATCACTGATAACGAAATCAATTTTTATATAAAAATTAAGATTTCTAAGTAATCACTGATAACGAAATCAACTTTTATATAAAAATTTAGATTTAAATCTGGTATTCAATTCTAAAAATAAAATAGAAGAACATGGCTGGTCTCAAGATTGCTTTTCTCATCATAGGCGCGTTCCTCTTGGCTACACAGGTAAATTTTAGATTTAATTTCTTTTGAATTTACTCTAAATAAAGTCGATATATTAATTTTCCTCTGTCATTCGAAGAATTTTTAGTTACAATGTTGTAGTATAAAACTCAATGATTGGTTAGGATATCGAGTTCTTATAATCTCAAATCACAAAATTGAACTGTTTTGACAAATGTAAAAATAATTTCTTTAATATTCTGTCGACAATGTTTATCTATTTCTGTAGAGTATAGGTTTATCCCAATGACTTCCTGTCTAGAGAAATAATTAGCCAATTTATACATGTTACTTCTGAAAATTATCTCGTCTTCGATATATGAATCTGTCTGCATTTATTTTTCTGGCTCTAGAGCACGACTTAATGAGTCCTGCCTGAATGAGTCCTACGTGAATGAGTCCTGCCTCTACGTAGTGCTTGAACTGCATCTCTTCAAGATCGGCGAGCTTTGAGTCAGTGGCGGCTCGTCATAATTTTTAATAGGTGTTCAATTTTTTCAATAATTTTATCGTTTGTAAGTTCGGTTTAAAACTTTATACAAGCGCCAATATCGCTGTTTTTTTGGGTCTGTATTAAGTGTAGTTATTATTATCATCAATGTCATACTGTTTTCAAGTACTACAACTATTAATGAATGAATATTTTAGTTATTGTAATATTTGTTTTGTTTTTAATACGTTGAAAATCATATATAATCATTATTAGTTATAGTCAGCTGACTTTTCTTTATATTGTGAAATTATTTTTGAATATATCAGGTTATGTAAAAAGATTGACATTGATTTTTGTGTAAAAATATTATTAAATGAAATTTTACCTACTGGTATTTAGTTTTTATTGTTAATTTAATAATTGTTACAATTTGTCACACATGTCAAATAAAATATTATATTTTTTAAATGCCTTTTTATTGGCCAATAAAACAAATGAACTAAAATGTTTAATAAGAACATTCCCATCACAATACATAACATTATACAGATACAAACCAGAATGAAGATATATAATGGTTTGCATTCTAAAGCATACTCTTTACATTTTAATAGACCTCCTTAACCCCCATTTTTAATTTGATTTTTTTTAGAATTAATAGGGTTTATCCTATTATCAAGCTTGATTTCTTAAAAAAATTCATTTGATAGTATTGGAGTTAGAATTTTTTTAAATATTTCAGCACTCCTTAACTCCCCGTATAGAGCTTGATTTTTGCTTAAAATTTTTAATTTGATATCATTTTTCGTTTTTGACCTATAGTGCAGACAAAAAACGTTACATCGGATAGATGGACAAAGTAAACGTCTACTACTCTTAATGGACTACTGTGTGAAGAATAGATTAATAATATAATCAAGGCTAAAACAATAACATAATAGACTAAAAAAATAGGTACACCAAAAGAATGATAAAGTCAAAGTTTTAAAAATTATTTAATAGGTAGTACCGTGTAGATAAACTGCACTATATTATTCTAGTCATCTATTTAGAAGAGCAGACTAAATGTTGGTTAGACTCTTTTCGTGTTCCATTTTTACATATATTAATTATATTTCGACAATTATTGTCAAAATATATATTGTTACGCAAGTTTTTGTTATCTCAATTTATTTCAACTCAACTTTTACAATAACTATACAACTGATAATATTAACGTATAACGTCTATCATAAAACTTAACTCTGACGTCAGGTCCTCGACTTATATAGCTTGCCTCAACCTTCTAAAATCTTCTTGAACAATCCGGATATTTGTTTGACAAGGAATGACATTTTGATACATTTCTGGACTATTCTGTCTTCTTCATTTACTTGTACCTATGGAGGGTAGAAAAAAGGAGGACAATCTTATATGGATCTTTATATTAAAAAGTGGCCACCAAAATGTATACAATTAAGATGGCGCTCGTGTAGCCAGGGGACAAAATCTAATGCTATATAGTCATATAGATTGCTCAATTATAAGAATTATTTATTGTTTATATTATTATTTTTCAATAAAATTTGACTATTGTCGTGTATTGTCAAAATTTATCTACGATCACAGAACACTTACTCTTCTACGACCAGTCACTTTTCACGGTGTAGTTTTTAGTTTTTTATGGTTGAGCAATATTTATTACTATATACATCATTGGTGTCATTGTCTGATCTGAATTATAGACTGTCGACGTCCCCTGGGCACAGAAGCGCCATCTTAATTGTATACATATTGAGAGACACTTTTTGTATACAGAGATTGTTCTCCTTTCCTCTACCCTCCATACTTGTACCTTTAGTTATGACGACCGCAGCACGCTGCAGGGTGCTGCGTAACATTGCTCCTTCCTCTCTAGTTATTCGCCCCGAATAACTTTATTAATGGGACCTGGTTGGTGCCAATGAGGATGATCTGGACCACGGAATGGCGCTAACTTTTTAATGTGAACTACCTTGGGTTTACTTCCCGCTGACAACTGACTGCGGTAGATTAGATCGTTGATTTTCTTAAGGTTAGTGTAGGGGCCTTCTTAGTTCCGTTGCAGTTCCAGACAAAGTACTCTTCGGCGCTTGGGATTTTACAGCCATACTGGATCGCCTCCCTCAAAATGTATCCCTGTGGCATGCATGTCGATTTTAGCTTTTGCTTTATCGCTATTGACGAGCGAACTCGTATACCTTTTTGAGTCTTTCTTATAAGTTCTTCAAATTAGTTTTTAGACTTTCTTGCTGCTGTTCTAAATTGGCTTTTAAATTATCTTGGTGCTCTTCCAAATTGACTTTTAAATGATTTTGTTGTTGTGTTAAGATATTTACTCGGCCGTTTAGCTACCCTACCTTTTGCTTAAAGTTTTCTTGAATTTGCAGCAAACCATTCATAATTTCTACCTTAGAGTTTTTTCGCCTCTCTTCCTACTCTTTTTCTTCGTCCTTCCTGCATCTTTCCTTCTCTTCCTCTTCTTCTTTCCTGCGTCTTTTCTTCTCATCTTCTTGCCTTTCCTTTCCCTCCTCTTTCTCCTTACGGAGCCTTTCCTTTTCCTCTTCCATCTTCAAAAATCATGCTGGTGGGTCTGCAGTATCCATATCTGTTTCGTACTCAGTGGATCTAGTATTTACCATGAACTTCTATTTTGTATCCCACCGCTGTCACCAATGTTAAGCAGGTTTTTGGTATCTTAATTTATTTTAACTTAACTTTTACAATCACTATACAACTAATAACATGAACGTATAACGTCTATCATAAAACAACTTCGACGTCAGGTCGTTGACTTGCCTCAACCTTCTGGAACCTTCTTGAACAATCCAGATTTTTCTTTGACAAAGAATGATATTAAGAGACATTTCTGGACTATTCTATCTTCTTCATTTACTCGCACCTTTAATTATAACCACCGCAGCAGGCTGCAGGGTGCTGCGTAACAGTATTTATTCCAAATATTTTTTTTAATATACATAAATTGTTGGTTTTTGTAACATGTTCCTATGTTTTAAGTGTAAATGTTCTATGACATAGTGTCATATACCTCCAACAGGCCTTTATAATTAATTTGACTAACATGAGAGTTAAAAATTGTTGTTTAACTTGTGACATCACTATACATGTTATAGTATACCCCTGAAAAGGTCTCGATAAGCCGATTTTAAAAATATAACCTATACAAAAAACTGAACTATGTCGACATAGTTCAGTTTACCACTTAGGTAGATATTGGTAAATTTTTAATTGTCTTTATGATATAATTAATTACATACCTAATATAGACAAAACTACTTAGTTTTCTAAATTAATTTAGGCCAGTGAAATATTTATTTTTGATCTTGTCTTTAAAAAAAAACCTGTAATATAAGTATAAGCTTCCTTTTTTTTTGTAAATGCATACGATGCCATCATTTGAGTAAAATTTTTACTACTACATCAGTCCGACACTGTTTATCAGTACCTATAACATTTATAGATAGCATATATTTATATAACTTCAAATTCATTAGGGACAACTTACAAAATAAAACAATTATTCATATAAAATTGTTCTTGTTTAAGTAAAATATATAATAAAATTGGTATACTTTTTTGAAACTTCGTTTATGTCTTTTGTTGAAAACAAAAAAATGTGGGACTCCGTTTGTTTTAGAGTATGTCGTCTAGCCTGGTCTTTTTTATTAGACTTAGTAGCGTTGACAGTGGCTCCCGCATGTAGTTGCATGCAATTGGCTTTTCTTCGCCCAATGTAAGAAACCTCATTCCAGCCAGGCCTTCACATTGGCACAGGACGTGGAATGGTGTTTCCTTTTCTTCTTCACAGAACCTGCACAAAGTTACTTCTTCTGCTGGATTTACGACACTCATGTGACTTTTGAGGCGACAGTGTCTAGTAAGAAGGCCTACTGTTATCCTAACGATTTGGCGCTGTTGATCCAGTAAGTTTTTCGTGAACTTGGTCGATGATTCCTTGATGAACTGTTTGGTTTGTCTCAGTCTTGGATAGTTGTTCCACCATTCCTGAGACTCTTTTTACATCCATTGTTTGATGGATGCCTTGCACAATGCCTTAGCAACTCCACAGAAGGATTCGGGGCTTGTCATGGCCTTATCTGAGCCTTCTCGGGTTAATTCGTCGGCCTTTTTGTTGCCCTGATATCCCTCATAACCTGGAACCCAGACCAAGTCACCTTATTTTGACTACTTAGCTCTGTTAGGTCTTCTATACAGTCTTTCACCAGTCGTGATTTGATTTCTGGTGAGAGAATTGCCTTTAGAGCTGCTTGGCTAGTAGAGTATATGGCAATAGTTTTGCCTGATACTTGCTGATTTATTATGTCTCTTGCACAGTATTGTATGGCTATTAGCTCAGCCTGGAACACTGTTGCATATTTTCCTAGACTCAGCAAAATCGTTGATTTCGACTTGGGTCCATAGATTCCAGCACCGGCTCCTTCCTTGGTTTTTAAACCGTCTGTGTACCAGACGAGTTCAGCCTGTACAGGAAGTTTCTATTTACAGGATTATCGGGCTGGTATTTGAATTTGAAAATTATTTCAAATTTGTATGTGATTATGGCTGTATCAGTAGGCATAACTAGAACATTATCTCTTTTTACTTGCTGATATAGCCTTGTGTAATCGGCGCTATGTAGTTGGCTTATTGGGGTTTGTCCTTGTATTAGCCTTTGAATAGCTGAACCAGTTTCTCCTTGTATGAAGATGTGCAGTGGCGTGAGATTTAATTATACCTCCATTGCTGCGGTCGGCGTAGTGCGCATGGCCCCAGTAGCACTTAGACAGGCAAGCCGCTGAATGCTAGTGAGTTGGCCTATTGCACTTGCCTGCGCAGTTTTGGTTACCTACGCCACTGCGCCATAGGTTATCATGGGTCTTATTACCCTTGTGTATAATCATATGGACATTTTGGGGTTTAGACCCCAGTTTTTCCCACATATTCTTCTACAGCTTACGAGAGCTTTTGTAGCTTTATGTGTGAGTTTTTTGAGATGTTAATTCCACGTCAGCTTTTGGTCAAATATGACTCCGAGGTATTTGGCTTCTGTGACGAATGGGATAACTGTGTTGTTTAGTACTAGTGGTCTTAGACCTGTAAGTACCCGTTTTTTTGTGAATGGTACAACTGTAATTTTTTGTGCGTTAATGGACAATTGTTTCTTTTTGCACCAGTTGTTCACTATGTTTAGAGCTGTTTGAAATCGCTTCGAAACTGTACCTGCAAATCGGCCCCTGACGATAATTGCTAGGTCGTCTGCGTATCCTAGGCACTGGTAGCCTTCTTTGAACAATATTTTGAGTAAGTCGTTCACAAGAACCGACCACAGCATTTCTTCTTGTGGGCAGCCCCGTGTAACTTTTGCCTGTATGGTTGCCTTTCCTAGAGTGGATAAAATAATCCTGTTTTCTAAACAGGCAGTGATCCATTGGCATATTGTTACTGGGACGTTTTTCTCTTCTAGAGCCTTGGTTATTGACCTGGTTGAGGCATTGTTAAAAGCTTCTTCAATATCTAAGAAAGTAGGTATTGCGATTTCTTTGTCATCTATTGACTTTGAAAGTCTGTTTAGATCATCCAGCGCTAGGTCAGTTGACTTTCCTGGCTAGTATGCATATATTGGTTGGGTTGTAGCGGATTTATTTTAAGTATATCGTTCCTGATATACCTATCTATCAATCTTTCTAGAGTTCTTAGTAGGAAGGGGGATAGGCTTATGGGGCGATATGACTTAAGCATTTGGTCTGTGACTCCACCTACTTTGGCAAGGTAAACTACTTTCGCCTTTTTCCATATTGCTGGGATATATCTCCAGGCAATACATTGCATAAATGTGGCATTAACACATATTTTTATTTATGAAGCAGAATTGGATGTATTCCATCCGGCCCCGGGGATTTGTATTAAATTTGTTGATAGCCCAACTAATCCTGTGTGGTCTTAACATCTCGGAGGCTAGCTTCTAGTCTATTGGAGTTGGTCTGATCCCCTTGTGACTGTAGCTCTCTTGGTCTCCTGAGTCTAGTCCTGTTAGGATAGTTGAGACCACCGTAAAGTGCACCTGAGTTAGTATCTCCAGACTTTCCTCTAGTGTCGTGGTGTAGGTATCATGCTATTTTTTTAAGGAATCCTACTTGACTAGATGTACTGTCTTTGGCTATAACTCTATGGATTCTAGCGCTGACGGAGGTCTCTGAGACCTCTTTGCAGAACTTTCTCCAAAGTTTCTTTTAGCCTTGCGTACTTCGTTGTTATACTCTGTAAGCTTATTTTTATAAGTACTCCAGTCTTGTGTGAATTTGGCCCTGTTAAACAGCCTTCGCACCTCGTCTCTCAGGCTATCTAGGTGTTTATTCCACCAGACTGTTTTTCTCGTTTGACATCTCTCTTTTTCGGGACAGTTTTCTTGGTAGGCATCAGTAATTGCCTTGTTTACCAAGTCTACTGTCCTTAAGAGTGTTAGTGTTAGGTATAAAACACATGACTATTCTGTAGACAAGGTGAAACTCCTTTGAGTAGCGCACTCTGTATACCGAAAATTATTAGATTTATCGAAAAAAGGTGCTTAAAAATGCATTTTTACAAAATGCGCTACATAAGAAAGATCCTTCTATCAAAAAAATAATTATTGAGTGCAGCGCCATCTACATATTGACTTATTTAATATCAATTTATGTCTAAAACTAAAGCTTTCATACTGTTTTACGAGTTGGCATTCACAGAATTTAAATATCTCTATTTCTTACCAAATTCTCTGGCCTGGCAGTTTTTATTGATACCACGTGTGGCACATCGTTTGAAAGTTATTATGATGGAGTATCCAGGCATACGACCATCTATGATTTTTTTTTATATGAACTTCATATTTGTAAAAAAATAACTCAAATATTACCTCTTTAAAATTAAACGCAATTCCTATGTTTGGTTAATGGGTTCACATTAAAAATGGACTATTGTTTGACAAACCACTTAACTTTTTTTTGTTACAGGTCGAATCCAAACCCGTCAACGACATACTCATTGTAAAAATCCTCAAGGAGATTATTAAAGTAGTCGACAACGTAGTTAACCAAGTCCTTGCCGGGGCCGAAACCATTGTCGCTATCATAGATGGCAATTACGTGGAATTAGAAAATAAGCTTGTTGACATTACCAGAAATGTTGTCACACAAAATCTTGATAGGTTTAACAAAGTTCTGAACGAAATCAGTAAACGTAAGTGACAAAAATTATATTATTTATATGGCCGTAAGAACTTTTGTTTTATACTTTAAGGTATATTTCTGTTATTTAAAATTGTAGAAGAAAATTCTACCAACAAGAGTTGATTGTAATGTTATTCTCTATAATTTTACTGTCAGCACCCAAATCTAACGCCTCCTCGCTCTATTATAAATCAAAGATAAATGTTCATAATCTTTGTTCATTTAACTTAAAAACGAAAGAAGCATACTGCTACTTATGGAATGAAATCGAAGGAGGTGTTTCAGCTGAAGAATATACTCTACTGTTTTAGTCTGTATTTGTAACGTGTGGAGTGTGGGCTACCCCGACGGCACTTAGGCCTCATTAGGCTCATTGTGCATCCTCCTAAGATGATAGGCACCTCCTCGTTCGTGAGCCAGCCTACAGATTTAATGTAGTTGACAACGTCACCAAGAGGTGCTTCTCTTATATCGGCCGGTGTTAGCCGAACTCGCCGAACACAAATCTTCTAATAAATGAGAGCATCGGGCAATCCCTTTCAAATGCTTTGCTAAATGAACCTGAGCTGCATCAGATTATCATTAAACTAAAATATCTGGAAGTAGGCCATACCCAGATGGAGTCGGACTCGATGCATGCCATAATAGAGAGGAAATTACGCAACAAAGTAGCTAATGCCAGAAAAAATACCCTTTAGTTTCATCCATCGATCAGACCCGGGAAAAAGAAGGGCAACCCTAAGATGTTAGATATTCGAACACTACAAAACTTACCTAATGGGAGCATCAATTGCCTTATATCTTATACATGTATTGGATTTATGAATCCAATCCAATCTAATATTCTTGCGTTACAAAAGCTAATTTTGCTTGATTTTCACCATGTAATGTGCGTTAATTGGTTTTCGGTACATTTCTCAATACCTGCGGCAAATACTATTGTGTTTTCTTTATCGCACTAAAATTTCTGAGTTTACAGGTGGTACTATTGATAATTGCTTGGTTAGGTATTTAGTACTTTTCCAGGTTTAGATTATTAGAGTTTACTTGATAATGTGTCTTATATCTTCATATTCTCGAAAAAACTGTTTGAAACCGTTATTTAAATCCTCGTTTCGAGAGGGTTTCTCTACTAGTTGGAGCAATCTTGAAGCCGCTTTCGTCTTGGAATTGCCGAGCTCAGAGCTTATAAATGGAATTCTTACTGTATAGGTTTCATCTTTGTTTCTTCCGGTTGTCTGTTGAATAAACTTTTTACACGGTTCAGATATTTGGGTGGATCGATTTCTTTCAAATCCCAAAATTTTGTCTTCTCTAGTACAGGCCTCCATACTTATTACTTTTATGGCGTTCGAGGTAATATTCTGGATCAGATAAGATATAATCCATCCTAGTTTGGTATTTTGTGCTATTGTACTATTCTTAGTTTTGTGGAGATCAGGAAGTATGATTTTGCCATACTCTTCTTCTCCTGAAGGTATATTAACTGGACCAGGATTGTTACATATTGGATCTGTTACAAACTTATTTTGCCATTAAGTCATGTTCATCTTTGACAAAAAAATTTTGGTAGTGCTTGTGTTTGTTTAAGTAATAATAATAATAATAATAATAAAAGCTTTTATTGGCAGAGAAAAAAAAAAACATACAGATAAGCAAAATACAATATTTGCCAAAAGGCAGAGTTAGGTCTAATCCTTGCAAGCAAGGGTAAGTCCTTTCTTCCACTCAACCTATTTAATTAAACTACTTAATTAAAAATAATTTTAATAATGATAATATTATAAGCTAGATAAAAACAAGCGAAATTCAAGTTAATCCATGTTAATGACGCAGAAATAATAATATAATAAATAGAAAACGAAAATAAAGCACAAGTCTAGAATGTTAGTTCATTAGTAAATAGCAAGTTTTTTATTTTATTTTTTATAGTGCTCAATGAGCAAGTAAGAAGATGTCTCGGAAACCTGTTGTATAGCCTGGTTATATTATACGAAAAGGATGATTCGAAGAGGGAAGTAGAGTGAATAGGCGGCGTCAAGCAAGATCGAAAACGTACATTGATATGGTGTACGTCTGATCTAAATTGTATTTTGTTAAAAAGATACGATGGTTCTTTATAGATAATTAATTTATGATAAAATATAAAACAATGTAACAAGATTCGTTTTTCAATATTTAGCCACCCTAACTCAGCTAAAGCTTCAGAGATATGGTCGCGTCTTTTTAAACCAGAAATCAAACGCACACAAGAGTTCTGTACTAATTGGAGTCTTCGCAAATCACATTTTAGCAGTGCTGGACCATATACTACATCGGCAAAATTTAAATGTGAAAATACCAAAGCCTCACATAGAGTAATTTTACTTTTTCGGTCTAAAAGTCCCCTATTTGCATAAATTAACTTTAAGTTGCAGTAAGCTCTCTTAATAATTAAGTTTACATGTTGCGTATAATGCAAAGAGGTGTCCAGAATCAAACCAAGATTTTTTGAACTTTCAACTAATGGTATAGGTGTATCATTTATGTTTAAGATAACAGAGTCCAGAGTTCGTTTTCGCGGATTTTTTCTTCCAAAGAAGAGAACTTGGGATTTCGATGGGTTAAGACTGAGGCAAAAATGTCTGGCAGTATCCGCTAATGATTGGAGATCCCTATTTAACTGTTTTATTGCTAATTGAGTATTATTTTCAGGGAAAGAAATATAAAGTTGAGTATCGTCGGCATAGAAATGGCTAGTGGAGTACCTCAGTGATTTGTAAAATTCAAAAGTGTAGATATTGAAAAAGATCGGTCCCAAGACAGAGCCCTGGGGAACACTATTCTCAACTGTCAAATATTGTGATACTATTTTGTCCACAACAACAGCTTGCTCCCTTCCCTGAAGATAGCTGCTCAACAGCTCAACTGCATTATCGGAGAAACCAATGTAATGGAATATGGCTAGCAACAGTTCATGTTTTATTCTATCAAAAGCTTTGGTAAAATCTAATAGTACAAGTACTGTTAATTCATTACGATCAATTGCCCTAAGAATATCATCAGTAATGTTTAATAAAGCGGTAGTGCAACTATGTTTAGGTCTAAATCCTGATTGCTGTTGAGGTATAATAGTATAATTATTAATGTGTAAACTTATTTGTACATGAACAATTTTTTCGAAGCACTTTGCAAGAGCACATAATATACTAATAGGGCAAAGTGATTTATAATCTAACGGTTTACTAACTTTGGGCAGTGGATGGATTAGAGATTTTTTCCAGGTAGACGGAAAAACATTATGGGTAATGCAAGTGTTAAAAATGTGACAAATATATTTTAAAATAAATGGACAAGCGTACAGTAACATGTTAACACTTAAAAGATCTGGACCAACAGCTTTGGACTTAAACGATAATATAGTTCTATAGATTTCTAGTTCGTTCGTTAATGAAAAATTAAAAGAAATAATATTAGGCAATATATTATTTTTGTAATAGTCGACTGTTAAATTATTCACAGGAAAATCAGATTTCGATGCATTTACAAAATATTCGTTAATTTCCTTTGGATTTTTTAGTTCTATTGGCAAGGAATGGTTCTTAGATTTAGAGTAAATATCTAGATTACGTAATTCTTTCCAGAATGTTTTCTGATTTCCGCAGTTTCTTAACTTAAATTCTAAATAAGCCTTTTTTTCTCTTTGTATTGCACTCTTAGTTTCATTTCTTAACTGTTTATAATATTCCCAATGACCCTGAACACCGGTTCTCTTAAACCTTACTAATGCTCTGTCTCTAAGAGACATCATTTTCTTTATAGTGTATGTGATCCAAGGAGCAGAAGGACGTGTAATTTTTACAGTCTTTTGTGGTGCGTGGTGGTCAAAAAGAACGAGAAGGATATTATTAAAATAATCAATTTTATCATCAATATTACGTAAATGAAAAATTTTATCAAAATTAGTTGCTTCTAGTTCAGCAGTAAAATGGGTAATGTTAAAAGGTTTGAAATTTCTAAACGTGATAAAGGAGGGATCTGTTTTTGGAATTTTATTGGAAAATGTTAGAGATGACATACAATGATCAGCTACAATAGATGCATCAGTTACAGATACTTTACCTTTGATAGTTTCAGAGCAGATTACCAAGTCCAAAGCAGTAGCACTTGTCGATCCATACCGTGTTGGTTCATGAATTAACTGAGATAAATCGTAGGACTGTAAGATAGTATCAAACCTTTTATAGCAACAACTATCAGGCACCATTGCATCGATATTAAAGTCTCCTAATAAGATTATTTGATTAAATTTAGGTGCAACGATACTGAGAGACATTTCAAAGTTTTCCAGGAAGTTAGAAACTGTGTGGGAATGTGGTCTATAAAAAATCCCCAATGCATATTTTCTATCTAATACAAAGGAAACCCACATTTCTTCAGTGTTACTTAAATTAAGCCCCTGAATAATATTGGCTTTAATGTTATTTTTAATGTAAATTAGTAAACCACCTCCTCTACTTCCCCGATCTCTTCTGAATAGTCGATAACCATTAAGTTGTATAATATTGTCGTGGATAATATTTGAAAGCCAGGTTTCCGTTACACCAATAATATCATATTTACAATAAACTAAATCTTTAAAAGCATTGAAATGCAATACAAGAGACCTAACATTAATATTAACTACACTTATTCTCATTTTTATATACGACAAAAAAAAGAGTTGAAAAATTACTAAAATATTAAAATACTATTGAACTACAAATAACAACAGCACATTAATATGAACAATTGCACAATATACACAATATGGCTGTTATTTTTTATGGATACCCCTGGTAATAGGACCCTGTTTTCTCACTACTTTCTTAGGCGTTTCTGACACTGACGATGCTCTAGTGAAAGCTAGAGTATTCTCTTTTGTAACAACTTCCTTGATGGGTGGTTGGGCCTTGACTTCGTTAGCGTTGGAACAAATTGCTTCTAAGTTGTTAGTTACTACATCAATATCGGTTTCTTCTGATAGATAATTTGTTGTAGGAGTTGGAGGTTCGCTTAGGACTTCACGTTGTGGTTGAGATTGGAAAATATCTAGTTCAGTTTCAATTTTCTGAAGGTCTTGACAAGTAAAAGCTTTGCCTTCAATTATCAATTGACTACCTTTTAAGATAGTTCTTTTATTCCTCAAACGAGCTTCCTTATAATATGGAACTAATATTTTTCTTTCCTCAAGAGTCTTCTCCGTGTAGTCTTCAGTAACAATTATGCCAGATCCCTTTAGTTTTTTTCCATTACGTAAGATTTCCTGTTTTCTTAAAAATGAAGTCAAGGATACTAAAGTTGGTCTATTCTGATTTCCCTTTTTTCCCAATCTGTATAGATTATTTATTTCAATAATATTTATATTAATGGAAAATTTATCGTTTAAAAGTTTTCGTACTGTTCGTACTGTTCGTACTGTTCGTACTGTAGATGTATGGTCAATGTATAGCTGCTAGAAAATCGTTGTGTTATGTGTGCGTTAGGTTAGCACTTGTAGAAGCTGGAATATTCCTTTAGAAGTTTATACATATACTATAGTTGTAGGATGTGAAACTATATTTTCTTCACTTCTTTTGTTGACGTAGATGTAAATTCACGTTGGGGAATCTGACTTTCTACTGTTATAGTATTGGCCTGGGATCTTGAGTTCTTAATCGACCTCGCAGTTCTGGTATATTCTGGTAACCTAAATTGTTCTTTTTTGTCTCTGTGGAGCATGCTGTGATGGGACATACCACAGGTGTAACATAGGAGGGCAATAATACACTTTTCGTTGCAGTTATGTACTATACAGTTGTTGAACCGTAGTCGACTGTCTCTGTTTCTATCAGATACCGATAAGTTTTTAAATTTAATGCATTGGTATATATTGTAAATGTGTATGTGGTATCTCATTTGGTTGATTAGGCTTTGATCATAAATTCTGTTTGTTTCTGTATCCCATTATCACATTAATATATCAGCAATGGGCCTGAATAACCTCTTCTAGACTCCTAAATTATTTATGGCTTGAAGGCTTTTAACGGCTACATCATGTAATACTTTGATCTTATTTGGTTCTTCCCTTTTGGATATTGGCAAATCTAAAATTTTATTTAGTAGTGTCAATAATATTTGCCGTTTGATTTCATATCTGTCCTGCTGTATGTTCTAATGGACCCCATAATTATCTTTAGTAATTTTAAGGTGTTGTATTAACTTGAAGGCTTTCCCTTTACATTTTGTTTTCAAGTATTGCATCTTTTCTGTCCTAAATAATAAAATTTCATGTATAAATTTTTTAAAAACATCATGGAAGTAAAACCAATCCTCATAGTTGCTATTAAAGAAGGAAAACTTTATTTTTGTTAATGCCACATTGGATTTAACATTGTCTAAATTGTTGCCTAAAATGTATGTTGTTTTTATAGTTTACTTTTCCAATACTGTTTTATATTGATTTTCCATAATTAAATAATTGTCCATAATAAAGTACTTATGGATAAACAGCGTTTCGTAGACCATGATTTCTTTATTTAATTCTTATATAGCATCCCACTGTTTTTGCAATTTATTAAGTAAGGCGTCGGCGTCGTACCAATATTTCATTTTATATTCAGTTAATGCTATTTATATTTGTTGGGCAATGAGTCTCAACTGTTCTATTTTTACCATTTGTTTTTTTGATCCTAAGTTGATGATCCATTCCTTCATTATTTTTAATTGGCTGTATCTCTGATTCTGATTTAGTTGTTCAAAATACTGACTTAGATAAACGTGGTTTGCTGTACCTATTTTAAAAGCTTTAAGATGGTTTTTATTCGCTTGTTCCCATAGTTTCTTTTTTTATTCGGTTTTAATCTTTTTTGCATTTGTTAACAATTGTAGTATTTGGCTACCAATTTCTTATTCTTTTGCTATTATATCAAGTTCTTTAATTTTGGTTGGCATTTTTCTTTACTATTTATTGACTATTGACTATTGATTAATATTTAATTTTTCTTTCACTTTTCCTCGAAGAACCAATGTATGTTTTGGTATTAAACATGTGAACTATTTTTAAGACATGTTAGTTGTAGTTCCAAAATGTAAAAAGGTGAAAATTGGTTAAAAAGCGTTTTATTTTACAAAATATTAAGATATAATATAAACTCTTAAGATTATATAAATAAAATTCCACGCTTTTGCAAATTAAATAAATACTGAACTAGATATTTCCGCTGTTGCAATTTTAATATTGTGGACTGAAATCGGTCTGTTTTGTTTTCTTGTATAATTTGTAACTAAATAAATTATATTTGATATACAGGATCATATTTTTATAAATGTTATGATTTAATAAATCAGAATCAGGTTAACAGTATTTTGGGCTATATCTTGTGCTAAACTTCAGTGCATACCAAGCTGGGATTCATCTAATTTGATCTCTTTAAATTCAATTATAGATTGGAACACTGGAACTACGTTTGTAAGTCCACAAGAAATCGATGTTCTGTGATTGATGCTACATCTTTCTTTTTATTTTAAAAAGTAAAATAGTTCATTGTAAAACAGGTGTTTTTAAAATACAAATCTTTGAAATCAAAATTAACCTTTAAAATTCGATTTAAACATCTCTTTACCTTTTTGCAGACGGTAGTGCTGATGAACAAAAATTGATCGCCTGTTTTACCAGTGAAGAATCAGATGTTGCTGATATTCCTGCAAATTTTGTTAAGAGTATTTCTTCATGTGTTGAAGACGACACTTCCACTTTACTTTCTGACTTAATGCCACTGATCAAGGATCTATACCGTACTGCCAATAAAACTAGCACTATTGTTGGCGATCTGGTCTACTGTGATGGAAATGGCGTATTTGATCTACTCTGCGTCGCTCAAGTAAGTTATATTCGTAAAACATTTTAAGTAACATTACTGTTAGACCGTCAGATAGTGACCGATTTAGGTGTCCCATTTTCGCATACAAGCCTCAAAGAGGGTTGAAAAGTACATTGATGTAGAGTAGAATAAAAGAAAATTTACAAGTGGCTCTTGTGGATAACACATGGAAAATTCGATTTTCCTCATCAAAAAAATTTCCGACCCCAAAATGCAACAAATAACCTTTCATTTTTGTTAGGGAAAATAGCATTTTCCATGTGTTTTTCACAGCAGCCACTCGTAAATTTCCTTTCATTCTACTTAAAATCGATGTATTTTTCAACTCTCTTCGAGGCTTGTATTCGAAAATGGGGCACCTAAACATGTAACTATCTGACGGACGGTGGGTAGTCGTATGTCATATCTACAAAGATTACAACAAAAAAGACTAGTTAATCCATAACAAAGTGACTCGATACGTCTTGGGGCATTTAGGTAAACGAAACATTTTAGACTGCGATAATAGGTGGAGGCACCAACAATTATTGTCGAGCTAGTGGACGATGGCATAAATACACAACGCAGTTAGATTAGATTAGATTGCTGGGTGGGTAGCTTGAGTATTAGACTATGCAAGGGTTCTTGGGTTCTCCTAACTTTAGTTGGTGTACTAAAGGTCGGGCCAGAATTAAAGTTTTCCAATACCTAAATATAAATAAAACTATAATAACTGTACAAATCAATCAAATTTATTTTAAACTTTTTTTTTAAGACAGACTTCAGCAAAGAACACTTAAGAGACATGAAAGTAATCACAAAAATAAAACCGATTAGTTCTTGTTGTAGATAATAATTACAAAAATAGGTACATTTTTACATTAGTCGAGTAGTCGAATACGTAGAATACAATAAGTCGTATACAAAGGATCATGCAGCAGCTTACAAATAAAATATTATAACATTATAACATCGAAGACTTCTATATGTTCTATAAGTTGCAACTTATTAAGTCATAATAAAAAAATTATCAAGCCTACAGATGGACATTACATCAAATTTAAATAGATTTCAACTCAAACGAATCTTGTATGTAAAATTTGACAAAATAATTTAGTATTAAAGTGAAAATAACCAAATGTAATTCGTTGGAGCCAAAACAAAAACCTATAAGTCTATGCTCAAGACCTCATTAAAATTATATAAATAAAAATTACTTAGCTTAAACAGTAGATAAACAATCCACGGACCATCCGAAGATTCGAGACTCTGTTTTCATTAAGTATTGATACTAGGTGGACATCAAAATGGTGAAGTTGGTGGCTCTATGTTAAAGATTTAAACCGCAAACTACATGGACTCATTGTACACCTCTCGATAAACTAAACTCTTAAACTGAACAACATTAAATGTGCATGGTTCAACATCACATATATGATCAAATTACATAAAATATTCTCCATTATCATTACCATGGTGAACATCAAAGAAATAATTGTGGCCCCAATCTTGGCCCGAATTATTATCCAAATCTTTGTAAAGATCGTACATATCGTAAATAACTTTGTACCAATCGCTATCCAAATCGTTAACGAAATTGCCATGCAAAAACGCTCCTAAAAACATGTGTTCTATGAAGATACACAAAAAAAAGTGACCAAAGAAAAACTTATCGGTCAGCTTTCCAACTGCGATTAGCCAAATCCAGAATTCAACTGTATTCTTTAAAAATATATATGGTGTTCAAATCCCGCAATCTCAATACTAAGGGTGGTTTTAATTACTATCCAATACCAAAAAAAATCTACAAATGCATAAAATTCTAACTACGAACAAACACACAGGCTTTATTAATGACCTTGCTACTTCGTTCGCTATTAAACTTGGAAATAATAAAATACAGTGTTGTTCCTAGGGATTTTTGAATTGTACAACTTTCAGTGTCAAAATTGTGCACTTTTATTTTCGATTGTACAACCACTAATTAATCTTCTTCTTTTTTATTGACAGATTATGGCCTACTACTTTCCCATGCTTAAAATTCTTCTTTTTTCCAGCTTAAAATATATTTTTGATGTAAAACGGTGTACTGATTGGTCGCGAATGGCGCCAAATTAAAAATTTTTGTTTTATTAATTTTTTACATACCCGATTTTACATAAATATTTAGCAATTTCAAATTGTACAACATTTCTGCCTTTTTTCAAAAGTGCGTACAACAGTACAACCGCATAACTGATTGTACAACTTTTTGTACAATTGTACAACCAGGAACAACACTGATAAAATATTCGTAATATCTACTAACCAAACATTCGATATCTACAAATCGTATAGATTCGAATCGTACAAATCGATAATCGATTTACATTCCGATACATCGATAAATAACCACAACGAGTTACATACAACAATTAATATTGTTATCTGCTGGATCAACTAAATCCTAATTAAGATGACCCAATTATTAACCTCTTATAAAACATTTTTCTTTATAATAGAAAATGTACATCCTTAAAATTACAATTATATCGAACGCTACCCCATAATCGATTTATAAACTACAGAGTTACTAAACCTCAACAAAACGTATCCATCATTACAGTCGTGGTCTGTCAAAACAGCTGATATTTGAATCAAACGAGAAATTACTCTACACTGAGAAAACAAAAGTAATAAGATGAAATTTGAAAATATGTGAAATAAATATAATTTATTTCAGAGAAATGAAAATAAACGAAATTGTTTAATAAAGTGACGTAATTATAAAATTGCAAAATCTGATTGTAACATATACCAATCGAAGGGGATCTGCGGCAACGCATCTGCCTCAAATTCGGGAGCATCGAGTCCCACTGGCGACTGGCCTGCTGTGAGCTTCTCTAGAGGTTTTATTATAGCTATGGACAAATTCTGGGTCAATAACATTCTCTCAAATATCACTATTCTTTCGACGTCATCCTCTCAGATCCGATCCTTGATCCTTTCAGTCAGGCTAAAGATGCTAGAGGCTAGGAATGACTATACCGGTCCGCTCTCGACTGGAAGATTGAAATACTTCTTTTTTTACAACTAACATATAAACACCAAATGTTTATATTGGTGTGACACCAGCGGCTGATAATTATCCTAGTCTAATTGCGACCTTACCTCACTGCCAACAGAATTACCTAATTATTGAAAAAATTAGAAAATAGTCGTTTGTTCAACAAGAGTGCAGATGATGGTCATATCACGCGAAAGCAAGTTGTTCTTCAATATACTCAAAAAATATAAAAATCATAAAAAAATAATTTAAAGGTTATTAAGATAAAATATTTATTTTTAAAAATATCTAATATTAAGGTTTGAATTTATTAATTTTACTTATTTATAAAATAAAATGAATTAAAAAAAATAGCTTCAGCCGAGAATTCTGTAGTTTGTACACAAAATTATTAATATTAATGCTTGATGTAGCGTCTTTATAGCTCTAAACAAATTGACTTACTCAAAAGTGTTTTTTATTCGGGGCTCAACTAGGCTTTACATTATAAAATCTAAAATATCTAGCAATATTCAAATATATCCGGCAAATCTATAATGTGTAAGGATACATTTTTTATCGGGAATCGATAGGGTTCATGTTCAGGAACAAAAATATAATACTACCAAAAAATCCGTTATTGGTTGAAAATGCTGTCTTAAAAAATGTTTAAAAATTAAATATCTTCTTATCCTTTGGAGCGATTGTTATATATTTTTTTTATAATTTATAGGCAATTCTAAGTTTAACAAAAACTTTTATTAAAACATTAAAAAAATTAACTTTCAATTAGTTATAACCAAGAATGTACATTTCCTAACAATAAAACCCGAAGAAGAAAACATTTTTTTATATTTTATTAACTTTGCTATGGCAGTAAATGCACAAAGAACAGCAGCATATGATTTGTAAACATACACATTTTTATTTGTAGTTATTACTACATTCACAGAAGATCAGGCTCAATAATCCTTCTTGCACGATAATGCATTGTTATGGGAAACATTTTATTTTTTGGTGTCTTTAATGTATCTGAGATTTCCAAGGAATGCATGCCTCTGCATCTGTAATGTCTATTGAGTGGGTTAACCCACGGCACATAGGTCTCACTAGACTCATTGTGCATCCTCCTAAGTAGATAGTCACCTACCAGCTAGTGTGCCACAAATCTTCTGAATAATGAGAGGCTCAAACAGTCATAGAGGATATGTGCGATGCTCTTCTTCTTGTTTGTTTCCCCTGCAGAGTTCGGATTCTGACAGCCCCATATCATAAAGATGTTTCCGTACTTGGCAATGACCAATTGGAATGCAGATTTTGTTTAGTCATAGTCAAGTATTTGTTTGCTGTGGTGTTTTGAGGATAATTTAAAAGCTCCCTGGCAAGTCTACTGCTTCTTGATTTATCCCACCCTTTAACAAGGGAATTTTCTTTAATTGGGTTTATAACTACCGAAGTTAGTATGACGATTACCTGTTAATGTTGCGTAACCTTTGATCCATCTTAAGGGGACAACATAACTGATCGATGTTTCGGCCAAAGATTCGTGACATTCTAGTACTAACCCTGAATAAATTTTGTAGTCCGTCCGGGATGAGTAGTGCTTGTCTGCTATCTATACAGATGAGCATGTTTCTTTCAGTGATATTATTTCTGGTGATTTCTTTGAGAATCCCTGCGAGGTCGGTTTGAGTTATACTGGCACTATTACTCACAGCTCATTTTATGTTTAGGTTTAAGGATCTGGAGTATATTCCACATCCTGGGCCTTGTGGGCCGTGTGGGTAGATATGAATCGTACCTGCCACTTCTTGCTTTTCTGTTATAACTTTATAAGGCTTATGGAAGATATATCTTGGTGAGATGGAGTCCATGTTCGCTTAAAGCAGTGAAGGGAACGTCTCCTGTCAAAAACAACGACTCGCCCCACCAGATCCTACATCAAGTTCTATTCCAATAATGCGAAGGCTTGTAATAGTCATCAGAGCAACCTTCTTGATGTAGATATCAAGAGGCGTGCGACTAAGAATGTGTGGTTGTCATGGCTCCTGTTGTTGAGATATGCTGTTCCTAGAATTCGTTTTAGTTTGCAGATAGCTGTCAATGTTTGGGTTTTCGGTACCAAGACAACTGCATCATATGTTAGCATAGGTCTTGTGATGGCCGTGTAAGTCCATGCGACGACTATGGGGGATATTTCAGGTGCGCCTCACGGTTTGATGGCATTGCTTATAAGCAATATATGCTTTTTTAACTTTGTTTTCAACTTGTACGTTCCATGTCAACTTTGTGTCAAAGGTGAGACCTAGGTACTTCACTTTTGTTGAGAAGTTTAGTTTTGTGTTTAGGAGTTCTAGAGATTTTATTTTTATTTGCATTCTCATTCTTGCGAAAAAAACCATTACTGTTTGCTTTGGATTGATAAACAGTGAATGGTCCTTACATTACTGTTTTATAATTTTAAAAGCTACTCGCTTTCTATCACAGAGTATGTTCTCAATATTTTTTGATTGCAGAATAATCAAGTCATCTGCAGACGCTCTTTGGTAGAGGCTGTAAATGCACGTTGAATAAATAGCTTAAGATTTGTCTTTTCATAGACTAATGGCATCAATAAATCGAAAGTTGTTAACAACAGGATAATTCAAATAATCACACATTTTAAATGGTAAATATTATTTCATTATCATCGCTACCCACTTTTTTAAAATAAAGATTTGATATGTCACCGCACAAAGCAATCAACAAAATGATTGAATCTGTGTATTTTTCCAATAATATTTTGCTTGTTCTTTATCAAGCTAATGGCTGTTTTTAGAGTTAAGGCACCCAACTTCTCACTAGCTTCCAACATTCTCAATAGTTGTGTTAATGTAAATTTATTTTTTCATGACCAAAAAATCTGCCGGATCTATAGGATGACTAGCAATTTACTAAGAATAATTTCAACTGGTATTTTCTTATTCTTACTTTGTGTATGTTTTTCATCTTTTGTAGAAGGAATATCAGTATATCCATTAAATACAATTATTGCATTTTCGCAAAAATATATAAGATACATAATATTATTGAAACTTGTGCAAAACTATATAATTTTTGACATATAACTAGATGTAGCAGCCATTCTCTATTAATAACATATGTGGTTTTACCCATGCATTGCTGCCAATTAAAAGTTTTAACAGTGGTTTAAAATTTGTTTTAATTGCTTTTCTAATTAAGTAATTAAAAAATAAAGACTTTGCTGACTTAAAACAAAAATATTGTTTCAAATCTATCTACCATCCAATCTACTACGGACATCTTTTCACAACATCCCATAGTGCAATCCATACATCAGACCTGCTATGAATTCGCCACCAAAAGCATATCCAGAACGCTTATCTGGGTACTTTCTTATGTAGGAATTCTCAAAAACGAATTAGCTAATCAAGCAACCAAAGAAGCATCCCTATACGATTCGCCATCTGTAAATATCCAGCTCTATAAAGATCTTAAAGCTAGTCTTAAGCAAGCCACTCAAACCAAATGGAAAAATATTTGGAACACAAAAATTACAAAACTTCATGCAATCCCACAGTCCACTCGAGCTTTCGACATGCATACAATGAATAGGAGGGACCAAGTTATCATCAGAAGACTAGAAATCGGCCATTCTCGTCTCACGCATGGTTATCTGATAGCTACGGAAAACCCTTCCCTATCTGAACATTGTAACAGTATCTGAATCACAGTGAATCATATTCTAATAGTCTGTCCATTCTACCAAGCTTTCCGAAGAAAACCTTGTATTTAAGGAAACATTAAAGACATCTTAAGTTCGCTTTCTGGCTTCAAAAATTTAATTATTTTTTTAAAAGAGACTAATCTATACAACCTAATTTTAGTTTATACAATATTTAACAAATTTTCTTGTGTCCTTCTGATTTGTTCAGATATTTCTTAATTTTATTTATTTCTGTAACCTTTCGTAAACTCTTGTGCTTGTGTCAATAATCACGTTAATTTAAATAAAAAAATCTTGGTTACTTTTTCTTTAGACGAATTATTGTATTGAATAACTGGCGTAGTTCAGAAAATCTTTTATCTACCCTAGATTCTAATCCTATTTCCTTCATCATGCTACAGTTAATATTTTCTGACAAAAAAAGGTCTTCAAAAGAATTGTCGTTTTGTAACCTTTCACAAACTATTTATAAGTCTTTGTTTTATCGATCAATCATAATTCTCATGTTGAATTTTTTTGAATATTTAGATTTACATCCTATGATAAGGAGGTGTCGTTCTCAACAAAAAAATAAATTGAAATTGGCAAACAAACTGAAGGTTTACCGAGAAAATTTTGTCGGTTTCAATTGCCAAAAAATAAAAAAAAAACTATGGAAATCGGGAGCGACAACAAACCAAAGAAAATTTGAAAAATTTAAAATATGTATTTATGTCTACAAAAATGTCCCACTCAATATTATTTTTTTTTAATTTGCCTGCTTTATTTGCCTGAAAAAATGTAATGAAGTTTTATTTGTAAAAAAAAATATTGTTTCAGGTTCTCGATGACATCACGGCTGCAATCGTCAAAGATATTCCCGTCATCGTTTCCGATCTGGTCCCCATTCGCCACGACTCGCAGGATCTCCATGAAACCGTTGTCAAATGTTTGAAAAGTTCTGTCTTAGATATGTTGGCTCAACTTGAAAAAGTGGGCAGCTCAATTAATTCCTGCTATGAGTCCTAATTTTTATATTGTAGAAATCTGTATAATTTATATATAAAAATGTCAAAGACTTTTTATTAAAAATAATTAAAATATCTAACGGTTGAAACCGTTTTCGTTATTTAGACTCAAACATTGTAACGGTCGGAACCGTTTTCGTTATTTTGACACCAACATCTCTACACAAATGTCATTTGTCGTTTATGCCTTATGTCTAAAGTTGGTAATTAATTTCGATTTTGTATCTGTCAACGAATAGGTTAATTTGAAAATTATCTTTTATCTTGGAAATCCGATGTACTAATTGTCTATTAATATTTTTAATGACCGTCTGATTTTAAAAAGGTAAGTTTCCTACTGATATTTTGTTAAAAATATTTATTTTGTACAAGAATTTCTAATTAAAATGTCAAATATGAAACATAACCTCAACATTGATTAACACATGATAATCCATTTTATATAATATTATATATTATTTTATTAGGAAAGAGATAATATGCTTTACTATATTTAAATATGTTAAAAAAGATTTTTCCTTTTCATATTAATTTTGGTCTCTGTGAAGCTATTCACTAATAATTTAAATTGTACATTTAATAGTAAAAAGCATCTTATCTGTTTCCTATATACACTTCCTGGTTCCTTTCTTGATATTTTTACCTTTTTCCTTGTAGCCTGGCTGTATCTAGATGGTTTTGTAGAAGTTATATTGAAAAAGATTGTTTGGAAGAACGTACAAGCTGCATGTTTAGAAGTATATAAACTTAGAAGTTTAGTTCCAGCTACAGAAGTTTATTTCAAGTATATCAAGAGGTTTAGTTCGAGTCATCTAAAGAAGTTTATGAGATTTAAGTTTACCTAGGCAGATTTATACTTGAAGAGTTGGTGATATCCGAAGTATCTCTTACGAATACCTTTGAAGAAGGCCTCTACAGTCACTCCTGAAATACTCTTGAAATACTCCTTTATAACAGATAAGTCTTAAATAAATCATTTAAATTTGAATAAGTAAGTCTCTGTGAATTAGAATTTGTCTCTGCCTTATCTGAAACCTTATTTAATTGTAATATCTTAATGGTTAGTGATTTCTGTATTTTTGTCATTAATCGACAGTCAAGTTTAATAAGTTTTAAATATAGTGGCGCTCAACATCATTTTTCAAAGTTATACGAGTTGTTTAATAACCTGACCCACTTCCCAAAATGATAAAAGCTTAAAACACTATAAAAATGGATAAAATAACAAGATCACGTTTCAAATATTAATAATGTTTATTTATTTCAATGATAGAAATACAAAATTAGGTAACAACAAAAAATAACAATAGGGATAAACACAAAGAACCACAGAATTAGTATTTCAACTATTTCTATCTGGTATAATATATAATTAACAAATAATAATACAAATAAATATAAATTAAATTAAAACAATAGCTACAGAAGACTAGATTGATTGAGATGACACTATTGAGTATAAAGACACAACAGGGTATAAAGACAATTCAGTACATATTGTAATGGTATTTAGTTTTCAAATGTAAAGAAAAATATATTTTTAAAGGTATACTTTGTTGTTAAACATTTTTATTGCACTATGGGGTCTATTCTGTAACAATTCCTTTATATTTAACGGCCTTTAAAAATATTTTATTCCTTACTTCTGTCATTATTTAAACGGAACTTTAAAATACATTAGAGGACCATCTTAAAGAAATCTGTTTAAATAATGAAGAAGTAAATTGACGAATACGAACATATGTGTAAAGGCCGACAATATTTTTAAAGGCTGTTAAATATAAAGAAATTTTTACAGAATAGACCCCATTGTATGATATGAAATGTGAGTTTAGTTGTCAAATATGAAGAAAAATATGTTTTTAAAGGTTTACTTTTTTGTTAAAGTTTTTTGTCGCACCCTGTATGATATGAAATGTGAGCAAATTGTAACATCAAACCATCAGCTTTTGTGACAGCTAGAAAAGGTACTCTGCATTGGGATTTTCATCTTTCAATTTGGCACGTGTTGAGACGACTATCTTCGTTCCACAGAATGCGATTCGTATGTACTGTCTCTCTATTCAATTCGTTACGTGTTGAGTACGCACATCAGAATCCCTGTCCAGATATAAAATTTTTTTTTGGATTAGCAACGATTTCTTAGGGAAATTACTAAAAAATGGGCAGACATCTTGAGATTAGAAAGAAAAATTGGGGATTTAAAAAAAATTGGTTGAAAAAGTAAAACCAAAAGTATTAAAAATATTAAAGTATCAAATAATTTCCGATGGTAGATTTTTGTAAATGGATGAACCAGTACTTCAGAAACGACTTACCTGGTAGTACTGAATTCTTTTTGTGAACATTGAAAAAAGTTATTTCTTTCCTTTTGTCTCGAAATTCATAAAAAAGCACTTTGAAAATATCCAGAGCAATACGTGTAATATTTTGAAAATTAACATTTTCCTTGAATGCTGTCACAATCATAATAATATAAAAGAATTCAGAAGTGCAATTTTATCTGAACTGGTAATCATTGTATAAATAACTATAGTGGAATAATCGCCATGTAAAAGTTATTGGAGGCAATCGCGCCCGACATCTATTGGAACAATCATTGAACTAACGATTTTATTTACTGGTTAGATACGCCCTCTACGTCAGATGTTAGAACTTTATAAGTGACAATTCCGTCAAATTAATTGTCAATATATATTTTTTAGTTATTAAGATTAAATCTAATTAAAAATTATTGACTATTGTGAAGAATCAATAAATAATAGCATTCCACAAGATATTCGTCTATATTTAAAAATAAACTGAGATTTTAATGAAATCAAAAGCAATCTGATTATTAGCGTTAAAAATTAAAACTTTCTCGTAAGCCTCCATAACGAATATTTAGAGTACTCGTCTATGAATCGAAAGGTTTCGAGTTCAAATCCACGAGTAGACATTTTTTTTTTTAAATATATCCCAGAAATTTAATAACATAGAGGGTATCCCATTTAAAAAAGTTTATTTGTGTTGTATTCCGTGAAATCTGAATACGTGTTTTTATGGTATATTTAAAAAAAGTCAGTCATAGCCACAAACTTTTATTTAAAGCTTTTTTTGAATATGCAATAGTGGTTATAAAAGGTGTCTTTAATAATGAATAATTTTATACATGATCTCAAATAAATTTGTTGAAATTAATTTCATTTGTAAAAATGTCACTTCTGCTTCTCCCGTATTGCTAAAAAAAAATTGTGTCCAGGTCTGGGATTTGATGGTGGTAAATATTAATTCTTAATATACATTTTCCAAGTGACATTGTCCTCCTGTTGTTAGAAATAAAGGTTACTGCTTAGCCAAATTCACACACAGTATGTTTATATAATATTAAAAACTTCCCCTACTAAATATTTTGGCTCAATCAAAGTAGATATCTTAAATTGATTATTGTTAGAAAAAGTAGAAATATTATTAAATATAATAAAGAAATTAAAAAAATAATTTAAAATTAGTTTAAGTTATATTATTTAAAGAAAAAAATTTTTAGCTTGGACCTAAATAAAACAGTAAAGAACCACCTGAGAATAATCACTTCAATCTACCTATAACAAGAATTATTCATAAAAATTATTTATATTTTCCAAACCTAACCAACAGGATTATTGGAAATACCAACAAAAATAATCCGGTTGGGGTTCGGCTCTGGGGGCTAGGGCATTTAGGGTCGAGATATTGAGACCAAACTTGGTATATAAAATAAAAATTGCATTAAAAAAATTCACCCCTCCCCATCCCTATCTGATATGGTGGGGGTGGCATCCCCAAAAAATCAAGTTAGAATTTTCTAACAAAACAGTTAAAATCTACGATTTTTTATACATACAAACCCAAAATTAAATTTTTTTTATCAAATTTGTCAGAAAGTCCAAAAAAAAATTTTGGAAAAATTTTATCAAAAAAAATTGAAATTTTGGGTTTGTATGTAAAAAAAATCGTAGATTTTAATTGTTTTTTTAAAAAGTTCTTAATTGATTTTTTGGGGATGCCACCCCTCTAGGGGATGGTGGTGGTAAGATATTATTTCTTCATACAATGGTAATATTTGTTGAATTGTAGGTATTTTCTTTTGGTCTGGCACAACAAGATTTCTCGCTTTAAAAGACTAATATTTTTATCTATTTTCCGATAGATGGAGATGACGGTGCGTCTTGATTGAAACAATTTAGAATAAGGTTATTTTAATAATGAAAGAATCATCGATAATTTTGAAGAATTGGTTTTATGACTTTAAATAATTAATCTTTATTTAAATACAGTTTAAGGAAATATAACATCAATTTTTATTAATTATAAGTAATATTAGCTTGTTCCAACTTATAAAAACTTAGGTAGGTATTTAAGGCGGCGTTAGCAAATGTAGGTAGATATTAGCATAGGAGATCATCTAAGACGGACTTAATAGGCAATAAATCTATTTAACGCTTTTATAATATTCTAATGGTATTTAACTATTTCCTGAATATATTGAAAAGTACAAAATTAAAAAATAAAAAAAAAAAATTGTGTAAATTTTACATGTTAAAAAGTCATCAAAAAATCGCTATAAAAACTATTTTAGGAAATAGAATATATTTCCGTCAGAGGCTCCACACAAAAAATATTTAATTTTATTCTTTCATTTACAAGTTCACTACAGCAGAATTTTTTTTAATATTAACGTAATTTTAACCATATTACCGCAACCAACATTACATCCAGCGTTTACGTACTTTCAAACAGATGGTAAGACCTGAAAATTTTAAATTTATGTATAACAACTAACGAGTCAAAACCAACAACGTTGTCATATTTTTATGAAGGAGCGGAAAAATGGACATTCGTTATTTTATTATTAAAATTATATATACATATATTTGGAAGTATTCTGTTAAATCTGGTTGTGTAGAAACGTCTATAAAGAGTAGAAGACTTTTTAAAATGTTATATTTTTATATTTTAAAATATAAAAATATTATTTGTCAGATAATATATAGTAGGTTGTGCAACAAGAGTGGATGTGGACAATCCACTAGAATTGTACAGTATATTTTTTCTACGGCTCATTAATGAAAATTTAAAAATTTAAAAAATTAT